TCCTCTCCGGGTTCTTACATCTTCCATTGATCTTTGGAATTTTTTGTTGATACAGATGTGATCTATCTGGTTCTCTGTGGTATGGTCCGGTGAGATCCATGTAGCTTTGTGTATGCGCTTGTGTGGGAATATTGTGCCGCCTATAACCAATTTGTTGAAAGCACATAGGTTTGCAAGTCTCTCCCCATTTTCATTTCTTTCTCCTAGTCCGTGTCGTCCGATTATATCTTCATATCCTGTGTTGTCCACTCCAACTTTAGCATTTAGATCTCCCATCAGGATGGTGAGGTCCTTACTTGAGCACTTTGCTACAATTGATTGCAGCCTTTCATAGAACTGATCTTTATCATCGTCGTTGCTATCATTGGTGGGTGCATAACATTGGATAACGTTCATTGTGATCCCTTGCTTCTTTGTTCTGAATGATGCTTTGATTATCCTGGGTCCATGAGATTCCCATCCCACAAGTGCATTTCTTGCTTCTTTGGACAGCATTAGAGCAACTCCCTGAGTGTGTGGAGCGTTTTCCCCTTCGTGACCGGAGTACAGCAGCATCTCTCCTGTACCTAGCCTTTGTTGTCCAGTTTGTGTCCAATGGGTTTCGCTGATTCCGAGTACTGCCAAGTTGTATCTCCGCATTTCCATTGCTATTTGGCTGGTCTTTCCTGTCTCCCACATTGTCCGGACGTTCCATGTACCTATAAAGAGTGTTGCTCTGGTTGTTAGAAGGTGCATCGGTCTCGTGACTTCCGAAGAATTTCGGCTTTCATCATGAGACGTCATTATTCCTTCAACTCCCAGAGCAGAGTTTAAATGGTTTGAATTATTTTTTCTGGTTAGCGTTTTTTTAGCGAGTTAGCTTTTCTACGAGATGGGGTCGCTAACCCCATGCCCAACCCTCCTCCTTTACCCGGGCTTGGGACCGGCAGTAACTCTAGAAGAGCTACAGGCGGAGTACCACATCGGTAAACTATGACCTAAAGGTCTGATCCACAAAGCAGTGGAGCATCGTCAGGAGATGCAGTCCCATGGTGGCCGGTGACCAACGATTGGTTCATACTCCATTTGTTCCCTCAGGATACTGGAGCCCATGTGTACCAATGGTTTGGAACCAGGGTTTTCCAACTCTCCTTGGTGGACTTTCCGTGTCCACCAACCCGGTTAAAGTGCCAGACATTCGCTTTTCGTCCTCTGAATTTCGTAAACAACAGTACTGTCACGAGGACGTAGGCAGTGAGTAGGACTTCCCTGACAGAGGCTATATACGCATGGCCACGTGAGAGAATATCGGGGGAGAGCGGACTCTCTCCACTATCGGCCATACCAGGGTATTTGGGTTGCCGGAAAAGACTTTAAGCGTACTTCTTCAGAACTGATTCTTAGATTTTTCATGTTATTTCCTCTCACTTTTCTAACCACAGTGCAATTATCTCTCAATTATCTTACCTTGTAGATGATTCTAGTTATAGAAAACTAAAAGTTCACATTCTAACATATCACAGCTATCCACTAAAATGATCTCAGTTTAATCGTACTGTTGTACAAGACCAATCAACTAGTTAACGATAACTACTTTTCGAAACTTTGCACTCATTGAACTACATCAATTTTTCATAGTTGAAATCATGAGTCAATTGAAGCTGGACCACCATGCAAAACTTGGAAGGCTGTTTCGTCCTATTGTGTGACTCCTCAGCAGTGCTCTGGCGCGAGACTGGTAGGTCCTGGGTTCGAATCTTGAGGTTGTGGACATGCATTGCTTAGGAGTCCCATAATAGGACGAAACGGCCGTCCAGTGCTTCCAGGTTTTGCATGGTGGTCTAGCTTCAATTGACTCATGATTTCAACTATGAAAAATACTGAAATCTCCGTAAAACCCCTTCCGAACTACATTAAATTTTACATTGTTTCAGAAAAACACTTCAGTGGTCCCCTGAAGCTAATTTAATAGCCCAAAATAGAAACGAATAAACACAAGATTGTCATGAACACATATGATCAGATCACTGTAGAATACTTAATTGCGAACAGACCACTAACAATAGAAAAGAAACTAAACGAGTTATAAGATTCTATAGGAATTATTACAGAGTTTGTGAATAGCGCAAAAATAAAGTCTACCTAGTTTCGAATTTTCACATTTTTGGGAAAGGTATTCAGATTTTTAAATTGGTGTAAACCATCTAGAATTCATTAAAATAATTTATGAATGATATCGAATATCACCAAAGAGTGAAGTAATCTAAAAAGCTGTCTTAATCACTATCAGCTGAACTACCGCCCAACAATCTTCATAATAAATATAATTCTTGAAACCCTATGATGGCTTTATCTCCCTAGTTGACTAACTACTTAACAGTTTCGTAGTATTCATCTATCATACAGCTAATATGTAAAGCACTTTGCATACTAAGGTTAGTCTGGGGCGTGTAAATGACTAAATCGAACTACAAGCATAATATTAATAACACTTAATAAAACTCACTTGGTGTTGTTTACTTGTATCTACACATTGTTGCATAGGATTACAATTGGTCAGTCTCTTATTTGCATATCTACACCCTGTACGGATTACCTCGATATTGCCTGAAGTCACAAGCTTTATAAGCAAAGATGGATAGTGGCTAGTAGTGGAATCTAGGACGCGCGTTGATATAAATATATAACATATGGGTTAATGAAAACCAAAAGCTAGAAATTTATACTTGGTTTAACTAAGCTACTAGTGTGGTATGTGCTATTGATATCGACAGATATAAGTAGTATGTATCATCAATCGAAAGTGAAATGTCTGGAGGCAGAATGTTAAGAAGATCGATTGTCCCCACTTGTGTTCTCGTTCACTACACTACCATTAAGGAAATATTCTACACTTATTAAAATCGAAAAACATCCCTCAGATTATTTTAGAAAGGAATCAAGAAATGTATGTAACTCGTTGTATGACATCTAGTTGATGGTTATATACGATACAGTATAGCATTGGTGTAATCACAATTTCTTTCAATTCCAACTACAATTGCAAATTTCATTTAAATGCTCATTTTAGTTTATACATAGATATCAACAGAAATGTAATATAAGATCTAATGAAGAATATTATTGAAGAACCCTGTTCAAAAAATGAACTACCATTTTGTGTAATGAGAATAAAATCTAATTCTGTGTTGAGATGGTGGTGATTTGTAGTTCAGGTGGGTGATTTTTATGTAGGTTTGTTTTCTGAGCTGGATGGTTCGGTCGTGGAGCTTTCATCATCCTTTTGGACGACATCATCAGCACAAAATTCAGGTAGATTGATCATATTTAACCTTTTAATTTGAATACAAACTGAAAAGACTCTACACTTATGTAGCTGAAGTGCCGGTTACATCCACTTCGGTTTCTTAGTGAATTACTTTTAAAGATTAGGAAGCTTCAAAGTGATTAGACTTTGTTATAAACCTAGAACTGTTTAGGTGAAGATTAATTTTCTAGTACATTTGTCGAAAATTAAGTACAAGAAACGACTTGACATTGGTAAGCTGATAAAGAGTATAGGCAAAACTACAATTTATGGATGAACCAATCAGATTTAGAATAACAAGTGTTGGATTTTAGCGTGAAATCCATTCAATTATCTAGTTAATTAGCGTTTTAGCTGTCAGTTTGTGATAAAAAGCATAAATCTAATTCCTAACCATATATATCTAATTCCTCACATCGGTTTATAATCGCCATTTAGTCCAAGTTAGTAGGTGGACATTCTGAAGGTCACTCAAAGGACGTCCATAAATTATAGTTTCACCGACTTCAAACAAACTGATCCTAATTAAGTCATGGCATAGCAGTTTAGTTAAAAACTATTGACTTAACAAACGTTGATTAAATACGAAAATCCTGTTGTTTATGTATCACGGGCAACATGAAATTAGATGCGTGCATCGTGTAAAATAAAAACAGGTGGATTATGGATGGCACATTTATTTTAATTTATATTGTTGAAACGCTGTTTTTGGTAAAGGATAAATTTTAGAAATCACTGTTCTGTTTGTCAGTTCTCATAGGTAAAATTTATTTATGAAGATGTTAGATGAATGATGGTTTCATTCTAGCTGGTACTCATTAGCGAGAAGTAATTTCGATTTTGGGTAAACTGATGACGTTATGGGATTCGAATACATTTTATACTACCAAAAACAAGGAAAGACTACGATTTCGAGGTATTTAGAATGCTGATTACATTACTGCTTGATCCATAGAGTTTGATCAGTACAAAGAACTGGACATGACATTGGTTACTTCTCAATACAATTATCCTAAACTCAAAATATTCAGCAGTAATCAGTTTACATCGGTGGCAATATCTCTGATCCCGACCGTTGCTGCTACCTTGGCGTGGTGGTCGGGCTTGCCTATTGTGGTGAATCAATCGAGCTATACTAGCTAGAACATTCGTTCCTCAAAGTCCTACCATACCAGGCAGGTCGGTTGAAGAGCGGTAAGACTAAAAGCATCAAACCCAAGGTCCGAAGGCGAAGTCGTACTGCTGACTGTACAGAGGTGTAACAGCAGTAAGGTGTTTCCTTCAGACAACTAGTAAAACAGAGATGCTGCCTTCCCACAAGGAGGGGTAGGGTTAGAAAAGGTCGACCCTAAAAATACACACCTCACCCTATCCTACGGATATCCGTCCCCGGTGGTAAGGTCCCAATAAGTACGTAGCTAACACAAAAACTACCCACAAAAAGGTCGTGTGTGACCGATTTGTCCCTTGGGCACTGCGGTCACGCTCTCAGATCATTGAGACCACCTCTAACCCAATTTCCTTTTCAGGTACCTCTAGAAGAACCCTTCTACAGTGTGGGCAACCGGGAGGTGATAACTGCCCTCACACCTCTAACAGAATTCAAGACAAACCAACTGACAATATCTCTGACACAGTTTCTTAAATAATATGTACTAACTAAAATCTAGACAATGAAACAAAGAAAAAACCACAACCACGGCAACATCATTTTCATTCCTAATTGATATATATTTATTTATTTATATAAAACCATTGAAATATTTAACAAATGATACATACATAGTTGAAATCATGAGTCAATTAAAGCTAGATCACTATGGAAAACCTGGAAGCATTGGACGGCCATTTCGTTCAATTGTAGGATATACACCAAAACAAAACAAAAATGACTATTTACAATGTGTATATCTATTTTACTGAGAGGGTGGGGGGGCGGGCGAAAACTTTAAAAATAAAAAAAAAACTAGAAAAGTAAATTATATTTTCTTTTTTTTTATATTTTTTTTACAAAAAAAAATCTAAATACCAGCACCTAAATCTTTTACAGTTACACTAATAATATTTACATCTTCTAATGGTTTATCATTTTTTGGATTTGTTTTAATATTTGATATTTTTTGAACAACTTCCATACCTTTAATCACACGACCAAATACTGTATGTTTATTATCTAACCAAGGCTAGAAATAAAAATAGAATCAATGTAAGAAAAAATTGTAAGGGTGATAATATAGAAAAGAAATTCATTTGTTTATGAAAATTGAAGTCGTCAACACCTGAACTAAAGATAGGGAGTGAAGTAGTTAGAGGCGTCGACAACTTCACTTATCTTGGAAGTCTGATTAGCCCTAATAGGTTGATGTCTGACGAAATCATAGCACGGATTGAAGTGTTGGACATTCGCTTTTTATCCTATTAATTTCGGAAAAAAACACCCCCACCGCGAGAAAGAAGTGAATAGAACTTCCCTGTTAGTGACTGTATACGCGTGGTCATGTTAGAGCATTCCGAAAGGGAGAGTGGACTCTTCGCACACTCTGGCGTACCAGGGTGTTTGAAGGCTGCAAGTAGATGGAAAAATCTCGGGCCTAGATTTCGTGCTGTTTAGCACCTGTCATTAGGGTGTAGCTGCAATCATAATTAAACTGAAACACCTTGGGTGAGTCGATTATATGTTGTCTAGCTTCATAATCATAGAATACCTCCAACCATCACCTCACATCTCAACATAGTGAACATGATATCGGGTCACTAGTGGTTACATTGCAACTTGATCAATAGAATTCCATCAATTCAAAGAATAACTTAACATATATGACAATGGTCATTACTCAGTGATTGATCAATTGTAATGAGTTAATAAACTGATGTCACATTGGTTTGACCGCCTCTAGCTTTTTTCATACCTGCTCCTATGACCCCAAACATTACATTAAAAATTGTCCTATCATCGAGAAATAATGTTAGCTAGAAAATGATTAGAAATACAGAAAGCACTGTATATCCTAGTTAAGATTCATTTGTAGAGAGTAATGAGTGAGTACTTTTAAAATGATCAGGCAGTGTTCTAAGTATTTTAGTAGTTTTTTTTAAAAAAAAGTTCACATTAGATCATGATGGAAATTACCTTCAACATGTTCTAAAGTCATTGTGAGTAAACAGGAACACGGATACCGAACCAATCAAAAATGTATAAAACGGAGTCGTAATTTAATTCAAAATCCATGTACAAAGTCATGTTTTGACTTTCTACATAGTTCTTATTCAACCTGGAACAAAATGATAACTAAGAGTCCAGTATTGTAAACTTTAAACCATTACATCATTATTGACATTGATAATCATATAAAAATTAAGACAGTTAACAACACCTAATGGCATTGAATGATGAACATCTTGATAGAAGTTGGAATCATGAACTTTAAGATTTCTAATTATTATCTTAAAGGTCCATCGTGTTTGTAAGGAGATTTTAATGTCCTAAGCTCTCTATAGACTTCATATATAATCTGATTAAATATCCAATTTTATTGAGATTTCATAAAAATTAAATAAATACAATTACGAAAGGTGACAAACAGGACAAAATACTTACAGTTGGAGCAACAGTTATAAAAAATTGAGAACCATTAGTATTAGGACCAGCATTAGCCATACTGACAGTGTATGGTCGATCATGTCTTAAACTAGGATGAAATTCATCTTCGAATTCACCACCCCATAAAGATTCACCACCGGTACCAGTGCCTATATGCAAAAAAAAACACATAGACAATTGTACTTCATAAATAGCGATTTAACAATAAAACCAACAGTTTCATCGAAAAATTGATGTGTATTGTATAGTTATAAATTAACTAGATTTTATATTATTGCATGAAATAAATAATTATGACATCATTTCACAAGGAGGAATGATGGTTCCTTAAAAAGATCCATTTATAGAAAATAAACATGAAACGGCCAACTGATCAACTTGGATAGCTGGGTTCTATTAAGCAGAAAGAGGAATCTTATTCGTTCTTTACGTTATCGAATACATAGGATATATAGTACAGAATGCATTGATGACGAACTCACATCCCTCAGAAAAACTCTGGCTAAAAACAGCTATTGAAGTCGAGTTTCGTGTGCGGGGTTATGGATGAGCACTGCTTAGGAATCGCATGCTAGGACGAAACGGCCATCCAGATTTCCAATAGTGGTCTATCGTAGATCGTACTACAATATCTACTAACTCTCATTCTGATGAATCAATTTTAATCATCTTACTTCGTTCTCATTATAATCCGTTGTTAACTTATCGATTTTACAAGGCTTTTTATCTACATGAACATAATCTTTTATTAGCAAATATGGATAGTGACTAGCAGTGGAATACGGGATGCGCGTTACGTCCTGATTAGGACCCGTTAGCTGGATGTACCTGCATCTTACAGTTGACGTTCACTCTGGGACTCGAACTCAATGCCATTCACTTCAAACGTCATGGCGTTATCCACTTAGTAAACAATACGAAGTGAATGTTACGATCTTTTATTGTTGTTAGACATACTACGTAATCTGACATTGTAATCTTATTACATCATCACGTTTATTCCTTGTTCATATGTTCTCACAGAACCAGTACTTAAACACACAAAAATTTTCATACGATTGTAAAGTTTGATAATAAATTCGTTGAAAAGAGATCCATTACCTCAACTTCGTGGTTGTGATAGAAAAAGTTAAGCATCGAAGATATGATTTGAGAAAACAAAAATGGGTGAAATAAGAAAAAAAATTGATGGGGGATTTAGAAACTATGGGTTCCAGGGAAGACAGCAAGTGAATACACCTGCGTGATTTTTCATAACCAAAGATTTCGAGCTATATTACCCAGTCTCTAACCATTGGTTACGATAATCACGCGAAATGCAACCAGGTTGCCTGTATCCACTACATAGGCTAATTCGATAGCACTTATTTTGATGAACTGTTGCCGTGTCTTGGTTTAGCCGTCCCTAACTTCCCCCAACCTACCCCTAAACTGGTCATCATAGTACATCGATGTGGTTTGTGGATTGGCACACGTAATACATGTCCTGACCACCTCAGTCGGTAATGGTTCATCATCTCGTCAATCGATTGATTTATTCATCTATTTGCCTATACCTAACATCGGCATTGCTCATTCGGTAGCTGACCAGGCTGTTCCCACAAAAGTACCATTTCATATTTGTTTAACGTGAGATAAATATAATTCATGTATAAAGGTAATTTAAGTAAAGTTCCCTCTCTTTTTCACTTACCTAAAGGACAACCAGTTTGAATCATGAAACCTTTAATAACTCTATGAAATATATGACCATTATAATAACCAGCTCTTGAATGTCCAACGAAATTCTCCACTGTTCTAGGACATTCTCTAGGACATAAGCGAATATGTATATCACCTAAAGTTGTATGTAGAATAGCGCTACCAGCTAATCGTGAAGCAGCTGTTGCTGAATCTCTTGTTGCAGCTAATACTTCTTCTTTAGTTGGTTTCTCATTGAATACATCACGTTCGGCAGTAGATCCTGAAGTGACTGTATCACCACTGAGGTGAAAAGAAAAAAAACACGACGAAAAACATGTTATCATGAAACAGAGATGTGGAAATTAATCGTCAGATGTTGATATTAAAAGTACTTGTTGTCATAAAATGTAGTCCATAACAAAATATCATGAATCAATCATTGAATCATTGACATTTTATACTACTATTATCACCGATTAGATTGTGTTTTTTTCAAGTACCTAGTTAGTTTGGGCACCCGGGCAGTATTCCAGCCCTCACACAAATCGAATGATTTATGTGGAGTATATCTATTTGGTGCGTCCTTGTATCAATGTTTATGTGTTTAAATCAATAAAGAAATAAATTAGTCCAGTACATTTTTTTCAGATTCTGATTGAGATCATGAATCGATCAGTATTAGACCACAATTGAAGACCTGGAAGCACTGGACGGCCGTTTCGTTTCAATAGTGATTTAACATTGATCAATCTTTGATCTCCACAACCCTATACTGATATTTTTCAGATTTGTCTTTTTTAAGGTGATAACTGAAGACAATGTAAATTGTGGTGTATTAATTTTATCACTTGGATTTCAACCAAAAGAGGTTATGAATTCGAACTTTGCTCAATACAATTTACAAACTTCAGCTAATTCATGATTATTTATTTATTTAAACACATAAATATTGGTTCAAAGGGGCACCAGATATATATGCGCCACATAAATCACGCGATTTGTGCGAAGGCAGTTATACTGCCCAGGTACCCAAACTGAAACAGGTGGTTTTTTAGGGGGCTATAACCGGAGCCTTTGACCAAAAGGTCTGATCCACAAGGCAGTGGAGAATCATAAGGAGATGCAGTCCCATGGTAGCCAGTGACCAACGTTTGATTCATATGCCATTTGTTCTCTCGGGATAGTGGAGACCATGTGCACCGTTGGTTTGGAATCAGAGTTTTCCAACTCCCCTAGGTGAACTTTTCGTGTCCACCAACCCGGTTAAAGCGCCGGACATTTGCTTTTCGTCCTCTCGATTTCGTAAACAACACCCCCGAGACGAGAAGGCAGTGAGTAGGACTTCCCTGTCAGAGGCTATATACGCGTGGCCATGTGATAGCATTTCGAGAGGGAGAGCAGACTCTCTCCACTCTCAGTCGTACCAGGGCATTTGGGGGCTAATTCATGATATAAGCCAATTATCGGAGATAAACATCAATTAATCACAATGTTACATCGTCAACTGACTAAAAAGTGTAAAATGTGAAATCCATAAGAATCTAATCCAGTAACTACTACTGTATTGTTTCCTTAATGATCTAAACTATTGGGCTTTGATTCACTAAAGGGCACTATTGTAGTTCTAAACTACTGTCCCTTGCTTTATCATTTTATAATGAATAATGCCAGAGTTAACAAACGATTAAATATGTAGTTTTGAGAGTGTGTCAGTCAACAGAAGAAACAAGAAGTTAATAAAATGAAACCAAACATTGCTATTTTGATTTCAAACAAATGAATCACTTTTCAGTTCAACTAAACAGTAGTATAAATAAAAGCTGAGGAGTCCCATGCTAGGACGATACGACTGTCTAGTGCTTCCAAGTTTTCAATGATGGTCTAACATTGATCCATTCATGATATCCATTTGAAGTTACCATAAAGATTATGTATATATGTGTGCATTATAGATATATACATACATGCAACACAACACTGGGTATGTTCTTAGTTTGACAGCTATTACTGACATCGATAAAGACCGTTATCATCATGATTGAAAAAAACATATTTCAACATGTCAAAAGGAGAAAAGGTTTGAAAGAATAATGTAAAAACTATGAAAATGATGTGCAAAAAAGAAAGGGAAGAATAAATGAAAGGTTTGAAAGAAAGTAAAAAACGATTTTCTTATTATCTACATACATACATACAGGCGAAAGCACAAAATCTTTAACACTAAAGAGCATAATCATTACAAATGAATCAATAATTTGTGAATAAATGAACACAGCCCACAACAGATGAATGAATGTAAGACGTGGGTGTGTAGATAGACATTACTGTGCTAAAAATTATGATTGATAGTTCCAATAATAAAATACAGATATAAATAGACAGAGAGGGAGAAAAGGAGGTAAAGGTATAGTGAAGTGAGAGTGTTGTAAAGTGTATACACCAGTAGGATCCGGATAATAATGTTGCTTTACAACACAGCGGGTATTTTAAGGCAGACAAAAGCAACCATAAAAAAATTGGCACATGAAAAAGTATAATGAATGATTGGTTTAACTCTCACTGAACTATATTTGATCAGAGTAGTTGAAAAGCGGAAACATCACGATTTTTAAGGAGATTTAGAAACTATGCTAATAACGGATATGGATTGTGGCTAGCAGTGGAATACAGGACGCGAGTTTCGTCCAATTTGGGACTCGTTAGCTGGATGAACCTGAATCCCAGAGATAATGTTCACTCCGGCACTCAAAATCAGTACTATTTGCTTCAAACGCTATCATGCTATATGCTTAGTTACTGAAGCATCCAATGGTGTTAAAGTCTAACTTCAGTCGATCCATGATGTTGCGCAACCCTTCATCCATTCTCTTAGCTTAGATCGACTAGTGTATTCAAGTGTGAAAATAATCCAATCCCCAAAAATCTTCATACTGATAATTATCAGTTCGTTTACTTGAGTCTTCATTTAATTGACGTTTATTAATTTTCATATAAAATGCTTTGACGAGCAAAGTTGTGACCCGATTGTTCGAAATGTATAGCGTAAATGCGTCACATTTTTCAGATCAACTTCGTCTCATTGGTCTATCGATATTCATATATACATAGGTAACAGACAGAATTTAGAAAGGTAAGCACATAAACTGAAAAGGATGGTGCTTTTTGTTGTAACAGGACAAACATCGTACATAGTGTAACTCTTGGAACCGTTTTTCAAACTATTGTTATTTGTATTTCCATTGTATAAGTAATGGAATTCTTATGTTTATATTCCGTCTATCATAAGTCTTTGTTTTGGGATTCAGGTTCAGCTGGCTGACGAGTCCCGAGTAAGTGGGAAACGTCCGTCTTCATGATCATTGCAAACCATTATCGAATTCTACTTATAATCTCTATTTTATTACCAATCTATTATTTGCAGGTTGCCCTATTCAAAATGACTTTTGGCTTAATCATGTATAATTGTGATTTTTTCAATTCACAGTGTTATGTGGTTGATAAAACCATGTGTACTTGAAATATATTGACAGTACAAGCCGGCTTTTGATTTCGTTTTCCACGCAAGGCAAGCGATAGAGAGAAGCTTGTGGATAGCGAGCCAATAGGAACTTAACTTGTGTTAACTGAAGGTTAACTGCGCAAGTCAGGTTATATAATTGGCCAATTCTAGGATGCTACGCTACAGATGGAATTTCAGAAGCAAGATAGGATGCGCACTGTTGAGGAGTTTCACAACAGGACGAAACGACCGTCCAGTGCTTCCAGGTTTTCCTGGTGGCCTAGCTTCAATGGACTCACGCTTTCAACTATGAAAAACAGAGATTAGATTAGGTTAGTCAAATAAATAGAACGCTTTTTTGTATCTCATAAGTTTTGGGTAACGGTCATGACTGGCTTACTAAAGCTACACAATAAGTGAATTAAATTCGAAAAAAATAAAACCGATATGCTTCTTGATAAGTGGTTTGATTAGGATAAATTCAGCATTCAAAAACCACATGAATCCAAATTTCAATAAGTAAACTTTACAGTTATTGACGTTGATTAACAATGCTATTAAACTGGAAATATCATGACATGTTACTTAAATTATATTAGAATTCCCTTTATTTACACTAAATACATTCTGTTGCGATATCTTAAACATTTTAACAGCCTGGATAAAGTTTCGAAGAAAAGATACGATGACACAACAATTATTAGTTATCAGTATAGAGTTGTGGAGATTATCGAGTTTTGATTGAGGTCATGAATAGATCAATGTTAGACCACCATCAAAACCTGGAAGCACTGGACGGCCGTTTCGTTCTAGGATGGGACTCCTCAGCAGGACGCATCCATCATCTCGCACCAAAACGACTCAAACCCAGGGCCTTCAGTCTGGCGCGCGAACGCTTAACCTATAGACCAGTGAACAGGCATCCAATGGTGTTAATGTCTAACTTCAACCAATCCATGATATTATGTCACCGTCCACCATTGTATTCAGTGAGTAAGTGCTTCATAACAGACACGGTTGAACTCCATTGATTACGGTTTCTGACAATGACTTCAGGAAATCAATTTTGAAGCCAGTCATTAGTAAGCACATGATAGTTATCAATATAGAGTTGTGGAGAGTTTATACGGCTGATTGATAACATGAATGGATCAATGTTAGACCACCAAGGGATCATGGATAGGCACTGTTGAGGAGTCCCATAATCTAGGACGATACGGCCGTCCAGTGTTTTCAAGTTTTCAATGATGGTCTAACATTGATCCATTCATGATTTCAACCCAAATTATGAATTAATCTTGTAAACAAAGGTGATTCGATTTGATGTGCTAAAATCAATATATAATGAACAAGAAATTTCACAGAACAATTAAAAACAGAAAAATGATCAAATAATAGTAACATACTCAGATTTTACATCATGTGGTTCACGATTTGTAAATAAATAGATACGATTTTTCTTAAATGCAGTACATACTATTACAGGTGTACAAATTGCTGTTGAATCACTTGAAGTGGTACTATTGTTAGTCCCGGGTAATGAATCATTTGCCATAGCAAGCATTTCTAAACTAGGCACACAAGATGATGTCCCAGAACCAATATTAGTTGAACCGTAAAATATTGAAGTACTACGTGGTGGCATAAAAGCAAGCTGAATAAAACGTAGATTCTCTGGTCCACCAAGATTTCTAACTACACGATTTGATATGATATTAATAATTTTTATGCCTAACAAAGTAGCATAGGCTAAAAAATTACTAGAAGAGTCAAACACTGAAAAAGTAAGTGAAAAGAAAACATAACAGCGGTAGGTTGTAGTTCAGCAAAGATAATATTGAAGTAGTTAACCAATAAATAAAAATGAGACTGGTTTATATGACTATAAATGATTGAGATCTAATAGTTTACATTATGAACGGACCTTCGTTAAACAATCATTGGAAACTAAGAAGAACTACACAACTTGATGAAACTCCTTAGCATCAATTATAATGATTTGTGCAGTAGTGAATGATTTGGAGAGATAATATTCAGTTTTAATGAGAGGATATGACTAGTTGATTTCAGTTATTTAGGTTTGAGGCAGTTACTTACCAATTCGTCTTAAAAGATAGTTGAGGAATATTACGAATTAATTGAAGCTATAAATGTAAATCATTAAATAACAATTGAATAGTGTCGAGGTTAAAGGCTCATCGGGACAGCTGAGTGTTTAGAGTTCGTCCATGGGTGTGAACTCCTAGAATCAAAAACGGCTATCCAGAACTTCCCGTTTTCAGTGGTTATCTAAGGTCAGTTCGTTAAAAACAGCTATAAAATTCAATAATCTCCACAAATATCTTACCATGTTAATTAGGATTCACTTAACTTTCGACATGGTTGCGGAAAGATACAACTGTCAAGTATTCTACTGGATTACGGGAGAATACGATATACAACTAATGGCATTCGAACGTATAGAATCCATAGTCGCGATTCAGAAGACGGAAAAAGTAGGGAAGTGATAATTGAGAAGGAATCCAAAATGTGCAGAAAAATATCAGTATTTATAGTTATTAGAATTCGATATAACACCATTATAATTCAGCCCGTCAGCAAGGAGACATTATTATTATTTATTATTTAAACACATAAATATTGATACAATGAAGCACCAGATAAATATGCGCCTCACAAATCTCATTCGATTTGTGTGAGGGCTGTGATACTGCCCAGGTACCCAAACTGAAACAGGTGGTTTTTTAGGGGGCCACACTCGGAGCCTTTGACCTGAATGTCTGATCCACAAGGCAATGGAGCATCGTGAGGAGATGCAGTCCCATGGTAGCCGTTGACCAATGACAGGTCCGTCCGCCATTCGTTCCATCAGGATATTGGAGCCCATGTGCACCATTGGTTTGGAATCAGGGTTTTCCATCTCCCCTAGGTGGACCCTACGTGTCCACCAACCCGGTTAAAGCGCCGGACATTTGCTTTTCGTCCTCTCACTTTCGTAAACAACACCCCCGCCACGAGAAGGCAGTGAGTAGGACTTCCCTGGCAGAGGCTATATATTCGCTGGCCATATGAGAGTATTTCGAGAGGGAGAGGAGACTCTCCCCACTCTCGGCCGTACCAAGGCATTTGGGGGTAAGGAGACAAGTTATGCTATCGTCCAATCGTAGCACGCCACCTTGATATTCTAGAAAGTCCTATCACGTTCTGATTGGATGGAATCTCTCCAGTTCACTTAGGGCCTCTGTAGGCTTCGTCGTGCTTCTCGAAAGCCATCCCAACAACAACAACTTTATGCACGACATTAGTTGTAGTCATTATTATCATTATCAGTCAGTCAGTCACAACGTAGAACTTCGTACGTACGTACATCAGTTCGAGTTGCCATACCACATTAGCACACAGATGCAGTTGTCGATTCAAATCCCATAGTGGAAGAATTAGTAAGAGTATAAGCAGTAATCGGAAAGATTAGAGTTTGAAGATGTTATTGAAGGAGTATAGTACAGTGAAATATATTTGGAAGGAGAAAAACATAAAGACATGAGAAATTCAGAAGATTAGAATTTGGTAGAACACAAAGAGTGGATGCATCTTCGCCATTGCAAACGATTTTGAGCCATGTCATTCAAGGTCTCTAACCATCGGTTGCTATCATCTCGCGAATCCCAACCAGGTAGTCTACACTTACCAACATGGCCCAGTCCACTTGTCAGTGACTTCATTGATTTGTGCCACGTTTTGGTCTGGCCACCCCTAGCTTTCTTCCAACCTACTCCTACACCATGAAACATTGCACGTCGGGGCAGTCGGTGGTCGGGCATACGTAACACATGTCCCAGCCATCTCAACTGATGAAGTTTCACTACTTCATCAATCGATTTGCCATCCCTACCTAGTACTCGTTTCCTAACAACTGCATTACTTACCCGGTGGTCCCAGGATATACGAGCAATGCTTCGAAGACACCTATGATCGAACACTAGTAGCCTACGAATATCCTCTACTCTTACCGGCCATGTTTCACTTCCATAAAGTAGGACGGAACGAACTGCTGCACAGTAAACCCGTCCTTTGGTTGCTAGACGGATATCTCGCCTACGCCACAAATGATGCAAGTTGGCAAAAGCTAGACGAGCCTTCTGTATCCGTGCTGAGATTTCGTCAAACACCAGACCACAAGGGCTGATGAGACTCCCAAGATAAGTGAAGTGGTCTACACGCTCAACTACTTCACTCCCTATCATTAGTTCAGGTGTCGCTGCAACCCAATCCTGAAGTAACATTTTGCACTTCGAGGGAGAGAATCGCATCCCGAACATGCCTGCATTGTTGCTTATGGTGGTCAGAAGACTCTGCATTTTGTCAGCGTCTTCACCGAGTAAAACTATGTCGTCGGCGTATTCTAAGTCAACAAGTGAGCCTCCCGGTAAGAGTTCAACTCCTGGAGGCTTAGCTGATGAAAGTGCTGTCTCTAAAAGTATGTCAATGACAAAGTTAAACAAGAATGGGGAGAGTGGACAGCCCTGACGAACTCCACTTGTGGTAATCAGTTCTGATGACAATTCGCCATAGGCTCTAACTCGACCAGTTGTGTTCGAGTAGAGAGCCTTTATGAGGTTAATGTACTTCTTTGGTACTCCTTTCAGTGACAAACATTGCCATAGAACCTCACGATCAACAGAGTCAAATGCCGCCTTAAGGTCAAGAAATACTACTATTGTGGGACGTCTGAATTTGTGTCTATGTTCTAGAACCTGACGTAGGGTGAATATCTGGTCTATGCAACCACGTCCAGGTCGAAAACCAGCCTGGTTTTCTCTAGTCTGCTCTTCACGAGCTTTGGTTAGGCGACCTAGTATTATTGAAGCTAATATTTTAGACACTATATTAGTCAAACTGATCCCTCTGTGATTGTCACAGGAGGACTTTTGTCCTTTCTTATAGACTGGCACAATCAGTGATTGGGACCAGTCAGATGGAATTACGTCCAGTTCCCAGATTCTACCTAAGACCTCAGTCAATCTCACTGCTAGTACTGGACCACCATCCTTAAAAATCTCAGGGGTCAACCTGTCAGGGCCTGCTGCTCTCCCTCGCTTCAGATTTCCTATAGCTTTTTCAACCTCACAGAGGGATGGAGGACTTACGTCAATTTGCCATTCAGGACGACTGGGGATCGTGGGTAATTGAAGCGTGGCTGAAGGCCAGTTGAACTGATCCCTAAAGTGTTCTGCCCATCGATCCAATCTCCTGGATTGAGAATGAATAATATGCCCATCTCTATCTGAGATGGTTTCACTGATATTCGGGTTCCTAATGCCGGTTTCTTTAACGAGTCTGAATAGCTGCCTACTGTTACCTATTGCCGCTGCCTTTTCCATCTCTCTTGCTTTCCCTACCCACCACTGTTCACGATCATTACGTAGGCTTCTTATAAGCCTGCGCTTAAGTTGACTCCGCTCTTCGTTATGCTCAGAGCCAGGTGGGATGAGTTTACGAGCATCTATCAGTGCGGAAGATGCTGCCGAGATCCATTGTTTCTCCCTAACGTTATGGTTTACCTTACTAGCGGACATCACTGCTGTTTCCACAGCTTTTCGGATGTCATTCCACGCTGCCTCGGGGTGGACACAACTTACATGGCTGCCTAACTGTTTTTCTAGTTGTTCCTGATATATATTCTTAGCTTGCCTATCATTAAGTAGAACCCTTAGAGGCTTCCCTGCAGTGTCTTTCCTACGACCAGTTAGACGCAGACAGATACGTGCTCGCACTAGAGCATGATCTGAATCTAGACATGTGCCCCATAATGAGCGACAGTCTTCAATCGAGCCCCTCCATCGGTGGCTGATAGCGATGTGATCTAATTGGGTCCAACGTTGGGACGAATTCGGGGGTCGCCATGTCAAAAGATGTTTTTCCTTATGCTTAAAGTTAGTATTTGCAAGAAATAGGCGGTTATCTGAGCACAGCTGCAACAGACGGTCGCCATTATCTGTTCTTTTCGCCATGACACCATAAGATCCACCCAGGTGTCTTTCCCTTTCACTTAGTTTACCTACTTGAGCATTAAAGTCACCTGCTACTATTACAACATCAGAACGCCTAGCTTCTCGGAGAAGGTCAGAAAGTTTCCTGTAGAACTCATCTTTTATATCGTCTGAGCTGCAGTCAGTGGGAGAGTAGGCAGAGACGACGAAGAGGCAACGACGAGTTTCCCTACCTTTCCGGGTCCTTACTGATCCGTTTAGTCGGACAGCGCATAGACGACTGTCTACTGGGATCCAGTCTAAAAGAGCTAGTTCTGCCCTAGGACTTAATGCTATACCTACTCCAGCGAGGCCACGGGAAGCAGCGTCAGGGCTTCCAGATACACGAAGCGTGTATCGAGATGAAACTTTATTTTGATTAGGTGAGGTCAAATGAATGACACTACTCGGATCTTGTATGCGCGTTTCGGAGACGCAGCACACATCGATGGTGTAAGATTCTAGAGTCCTAGCTAAGGAAGCCTGTTGTCCTATTTGGCACAATGTTCGGACATTAAAAGTTCCTATATGTAGTTTAGAGCGTGGTTTCAGGAGACCAGAAATAACGTTCTGTGTACTCGAATCGTTTGCCCTAGCGGTGCGAGGTGATAAAAGGACGTGGGAAGGGTTAGTCGTGGAGATAACAGAGTTATTAGGAGGTGTAGGAAGGATTTGAAAGCGACCAACTTGGTCTTGTGTGCAGCTAAGGGTATGAGGGCTAGTATCACTTCCCGGCTGCCCACACCGTGGAAGGGTATTTCTTGAGGGACCTGAAAAAGAAGTTGGATTAGTGTTGGTCTTAACGACCTGGGTGCGTGACCGCAGTGCCCAAGGGACATCTGCTTGAGGCCGGTCACGCACGGCCTTTTTGTGGGGGATTTTTGACGTGTTAGCTCCGTTCTTCAAAAGTCCTTACCGCCGGAGACGGAAATCCGTGGGATAAGGCGAGGTGTGCATTTTTAGGGTCGACCTTTTCTAACCCCACCCCTCCTTGTGGGAAGGCAGCATCGCTGTCATGCTGGTTGTCTGAAGGAAACACCTTACTGCTTTCACACCTCTGTACAGTCAGCAGTACGACTTCGCCTTCGGACCTTGGGATTGCTGCTTTTAGTTTCACCGCTCTTCAATCGACCTGTCTGGCATGGTAGGACCTTGAGGAACGATTGTTCCAGCCAGCATAGCTCGATTGGATCATCACGATAGGCAAGCCCGACCACCACGTCAAGGTAGCAGCAACGGTCGGGTAAAGTTCGTCGCGAGCAGGATATGAACCTGCGCGGGGAAACCCCATTGGATTTCGAGTCCATTATAATCATAGTCCATTATAATCATTATAATGTAAAGTGTAGATGAAATGTATAAAATAAAGACTTACCTAAGTTACAACTATGCTTAAATTCTGAACGATCAAGTTCTTTTTCCTGTGCTAAACGTCGACCGAATTCCATACTAGGTAGCAATTGTTTAGTCTGCAAAAACAAACAAATATACGTGAAATATACGTGAATCAATACTAACGAAACTTTTAATATTTTTATTATTATCAGAAGGGGTTTTTGTGGAGATTTAGTATTTTCATAGTTGAAAGCGTTAGTCAATTGAAGCTAGACCACCATGGGAAACCTGGAAGCACTGGACGGCGTTTCGTGCTTCCAGGTTTTCCATGGTGGTCTAGCTTCAACTGACTCACGCTTTCAACTATTTTAATAGTTTGCTTGTAGGTATGTGACTACTTATAAGTAGAGAAGACCATATTAGTGGAAATACTTTGTCAAATAGTTTGTTACAAATATGAGTACCAATAAAAGTATAAATTACTAAATAGATAGGAAACAAGAAAAAATGTCAAAACTTTTTAATGTCGTCAAGAGAGAGGAGGAAAACGGAGTAGATAAACACCAAATCTGAACATTATTCTGTAATCAAAAGTTTATGTTCTCTTAAAGAACAATGGGCAGGTGAAACAAAGAAGAACCTCTGATTTAATATGTCAAACATGAAGATGAACTAGATAGATATTCTTAACTGATAAAGTCACTTTTTCAAAAAATCTGTGATAATGTCAATGAACACCTCTTCAAAATAGCAAGAAATACAGATATGATGATGATTCACATACGATGATTGTCTATGCAAAATAGCTCTGACTAATAAAACCGTAGAACTAGATGGAATTAAAACTGATGTGGAGGAATACACTATCCAATATTATTATTCTTCAGACCCAATATAGCAACATGACTCGAAAGTAGAAAAACTATTCCAGAGACTGGCAGCCTTAAAAAAATGTCAATATCTAGCTGCACTACCACCTTTTATCAATACCTATGTGTACAATAAGTAAACTTCGAGTGTTACTACATAAACCAACTAGAAAAAGACAATACAGATCACAGTTAAGATATACCCGTTCAAATTGCCCATTTCACAAATGGCATATAGAAAAGAAGTCAGTTAAGGTGTACATTTATTTTATTTAAACACATAAACATTGGTACAAAGAGGAACCAGAAACAGGTGGTTTTCCTAAGCGACCACACCCGGAGCCTTTGACCTAAATTTCTGATCCACAAGGCAGTGGAGTATCGGAAGGAGATGCAGTTCCATGGTAGCCGATGACCAACGATTGATTCATATGCCATTTGTTCCCTCGAGATAATGGAGACCATGTGCAATATTGGTTTGGAGTCAGGGTTTCCCAACTCCCCTAAGTAAACTTTCCGTGTCCACCAACCCGGTTAAAGCGCCGGACATTTGCTTTTCACCCTCTAAATTTCGTAAACAACACCCCCGAGACGAGAAGGCAGTGAGTAGGACTTACCTGACAGAGGCTATATACCCTTAGCCATGTGATAGCATTTCCAGAGGGAGAGCGAAATCTCTCCACTCTCGGCCGTACGAGGGCATTTGGGGGCTAAGTGCATACTAGTATGAAATAATGTAGTTAAGAGAACAATAATTGATGAATAAAAATGGACCATAATGATCCATTTTGAAATAAATCACATATGGCCTCAATCATTGAAACTTAGGAGCCATTAAACATATTATACCGATTATATAAATGTTATAACTTCTTAAACTTATCCATTATTATCTATGTATCGCGTCTGTGAGTAAGAATTTAATCATTCAATCATCTTTTTAATTTTGCCATTATCAAACGTCTATCATTCCATCATAAACTATTGTAGATATCATACACTCTAATAAAGGAACTCAATCACATGTTATATAAATCCAATAATATTTTCACAGTTGTATTCAAGAATCTAGAGGTTAAGTGTTCACACGCAATGTCAAGAGTCCTAGGTTCGTGTTCTGGTGTACAGGTTCGTGGATGTACACTGTTGAGGAATCCCATACTGGGATGAAACGGTCATCCAAAGCTTCCAAGTTTTCCATCTTGGTCTACCTTAGATCAACTAATGAATTCAACTATGAAAATAATAATTTGATTAATTATTACTAACCTGTTGTAAATTAGAATATTGTTGAAGGCTTTCATCATAAACACGAATTAATTTTCCAGTAGAAAAACGAAATAATCGAATCTAAATTATAAAAAATTTGATATTAACAGATGTGAATTTGTATATTTGAAACATGAAAATTGTTTAAAACTGACCAATAATTTGAATAAAACATATGAATGCCAAAAATTTTTTTTCATAAATAGATAAAGTCCGAATGAAAATTTTTACATTGTATTTTTTTTTTATGATACTGTGGTGTGGGCTACTTATATCTATATAAGTAGTATATGGTGATGGTCAGACATAGAATGTATTTCGGAAGAAGACCGATAAGGAAAGAACTGAAATGAAGAGCATTTGGCAAGAAAATGCATGAACAATGGAATAAGAGAAGATGAGTGATTGATATTTGCAGAAGGAACATTGAAGATTGACACAATTGATTGCTTTTTTTTGCAAATTAACTGTTTGTTATATGGTTATCAGAATTTAGTGAGATAATCTGTAATTTGTGCTTAAATACATTCGATTAGTCCCTAATCGTGTTCTCGTTTATTACAATACTTGTTCTGTTTACGGAATTAATGATGATTATGTTGTCTAGAACGACGGTGGTGAATCCAAATTTTGAGAAAAGCTAAGTTCATTTAAATTAATTCAAAATAAGACGGTTGTTAGCGGAATATAAATTGAATTGAAGTATGTTCTGTGTAAGATTGTGTTGGGGTACGCCAATTGACTAGTTCTTAGCCAATCAGAGATAAAGGATACTTAGAGAAGACTCTAGAATCTTCCCACGTAAAAACTATAAATATACTAACGTTAATCTTATTGTGATTCTTATTTCCATCCAACTATTTTAGTTGGAATATAATTACATTCCTGTTCAACCGTGTTCTGATTTGGGGACTTGTTGAGTGAAATAGTGTTCTAGAATACTAAGTCATAAAAGTAGCTGGATCGTATTAAAAAGAATTATAACGACAGTATTAGTTATAAATTTGAAAGATAAAAATCATTGCGAAGTGTAGCGACTAGGTATTCAACTTGGAAAAAAACCCATAAATTCTCTTTTCTAAAATGATGTAGAAAATATCAGTTATAGTATGGTGTGTACTACTTATACAGCCAGATATAAACAATATGTATCCGGAACTGGGAGTTGGATCCCTACTGACAGAAGAAAAAGAAAATAAAGAGTGGTCGAAGTAATAACTGGAACAGAAGAACGATGGAGTTCGTAAGGGATAATTCCAAATGCACTCTGTGGTTTTAAACAACAAAATAAATTGTTTTTCCCTACCGAGTCTTCGTTCATTGAGATACTTTGTGCATTAATGCTTTCCACAACATATGGATCAAATATCTCCAAATTACATATTGTCATAAAAGGATGCAATGAACTGAATATTAGGGGGATAAGTATGTACAAAATTCTTTTTTTTACAGTTGTAGTTCGATTGGATTATTTACCAAAAAATGTAGACATTCATGTTCCCAATCTAGTAAACAGGCAATATGTTCTCAAAGAGTATGGGGGACAAGGAGCATAATACAATAAATCAAGGACGAAAGATTATCACAACAGCACGAGTGCACTAGAGAATTGAAACAAGAGTATAAACGGAATAGATTAGAGGATGGGTTTGAACAAACAAATCTCACACGTTACATTGGATAAAATACAAAATATTAGATAATTCAAACTACTCCACAAAAACATGCGTAAAGGTGTTAACAAACATTTTGACAGAAATTGAACGCCCAGTATATGTAGGACATTAAATCTGAGAAATATACTACAAATAATCTGAGATTGGAATTTCAACAACTAGAACGTCCAAACTAAAAAGAACCACCCTGAATCTCTTTTCTGATAATTTAGATCTCGGTTATTTTCCTCAAACCAATTTGCTGGAAGAAACGTCGGAATTATCTAAATTTCAATCTTTGAGATTATTTCGTACATACTTTTTACCTTTAATTCAGACTACTAACTATTATTAAGTAGTACTGTATAACAAACGAAAAAAGCGAACAAGGAAAGTACGAAGTTGAGAAATGAAAATGACACTATGAACACTTACTTTTCTATCTGCTCCAAGTACTGCTAAAATCTCACCAGATGGAGAGAATACAACACTGAATGCAAAGGTTTTATCAGCTAGTAAACAATAAAAATCTGTGTCTGATTTATATTCCCATTTAAGTGTCTGTGGGAAACTGTAATTATTCTTTGGACCAGACCAACATTCTAGCATACCGTCGGAATCCGCGCTTAATGCACATGCGTATACAGGATTAAACTGTAAAGTGGACGAAAGATGGGAAACATGTTAAAAGGTAGCAAAAAGCGTTCATTAAAAATCTGAAAGTCACTTTTTTGGAATTTAGGCTTCAGACATATTTGACACTTTTTGGATGACTCAAAAAAGTGGACATGGTGACTTGGGCAGGACAAGCAGTCTAGAAATATGAAGCTGATACATAAAAGCACTAATTATTTCATCACTAACATGTGAGTATGCACATATATTCGACTATGTGATGCAACAAGTATAGATACTCAAAAACTGTGTAACATTTGCACAACAAATTCTTGACTGTCGAACAAACACTATTACAATTAGTTTATATGAGCGCTACCCTAAGTTTAACCAAATATCCTATCTTATGCCAAAAAACTAAATCCACTTACACATTAAGTGAGCCTGTAAAATTATAGTGCACTATTCGAAACCCAACAGAAAGTTTTCCTTTAAGTAGTAATTAAATAATAGGATATTCCTAGTACGAAGTTATCCACAGAGAGAGAGAAGTGATGACATTTAGTAGAGTACAGATATATCAAGTGGATGTTAAGCCCCAGATGTATTCAAAGTGGTCGACCTCCCACAAATTAACACCGAATCGGAACTTCGAACCTTATTTCTGGGCACCAGGGTTGTTAAAATGGGACTAATACAGCATGATAATCCTGGGCCCCCAAATGCCCTGGTACGGTGGATGGTGGTGAGAGTGCGCTCCTCATATCAAAATGCCCTCATATGGGCCACGCGTATACAGCCACTAACAGGGAAGTCTTATTCACTGCCTTCTCGCATAAGGGGTGTTGTTTACCAAATTGAGAGGACGAAAAGCGAATGTCCAGAGCTTTAACCGAGTTGGTGAGTACGGAGAACCTACCTAGGGGGTTTGGAAAACCCCATGGCACATATGTATTTGGTGCCCCCAAACAAACCAGTTTCTATCTGAAGAGGAAATTAAGAAAAGACGTTGGAAGTGGATGGGACGCATGTTGAGGAAATCATCAAACTGAATCACAAGACATGCGCTAACTTGGATTCCTGAAGGGAAACAGAAACGAGGAAGACTAAGAAACACATTGCATCGGGAATTGAAAGCAGCCATGAAAAGGATGAATAGCAACCGGAAAGGATTTTCCAGAACAGTTGGTTGAAGAATCCAGGTCCGTGGCTTATGCTTCTCCACGAGGGGTAACAGGCATAAGTAAGGAATCTTATTCGGTATGACCACAAAGATATTAAGACTTTGGTCGATAATATCCCGTTTTAAATAAAGAATGGCTATTTGAGGAAAACCTAGTTTTTATTGTTTCAAATCCTACAGTAAAATATTACAAGGATTGTTAAGAGTCAAAAACGCCTGAAGACACATTCATGATAATTCAGGTAACTGAGTAATTACGTGTATATTCGCTTAGCAAACTGTAATTCACGTAAGTCATCTGATTTCTACTCAAAACAAGATAAATGTGATGGATTACACCTAAAACTTAGAGGTTAAGTATCGATTGTGTACATCATTCCTAACACCGAAATCTCAAGAGATAAAAACAAGGTATTTGATTATCCTAAACTCTTCTGGAAGGCATTAAGACGAAAAAACATTCATCCCAATGCAAAAACACTCAAACGTCATGCACTCAATTGTATCGATGCTATTTGAAAAGTGTTTATAATAGATTATAACTATTAATAGTCTAATTGATAATAATTATATATGAACTATGTGTAACTAATAAGTTAACACCAAATCCAGCACAAAAGTAAAATATAAGAACTTACCGCTAAACATACTATAGGTGCTTCATGTAATTTTTCAATTGTATGTAATAATTCACCTTTGCTACGTGCATCAAATATCCGAATTTTAGAACTATCTTGATCGGATCTACAAATCGGTTTTTAAAAACATTTTTTTAATGGCTAGAACTCCGTAATTTTGTGAGTAAACAATATTTTTCAAGCATTTAGAGTAGGATTTAAGCGAGTAACTTAAAATGATATTTCATACACTCATTGATCCGAACAGACAGTCAGTGGAACGAAGTTACGCGCGGCGGAGAAGGGGAGTGAGTCAACCCGATTTGATTAAGCACGATCCGATATTTATGGTCAGACCAAAAATAAGTTACAGACCACCTGATGAATAGGGTAAGTAATTAACACACATACACTCAAATAAAAACAGTCAGGGTTAATAAGCGAAGAATCAAGAAGGGCAAAATGTAGATTGAGAAGAATGAATATACTGGTCTGTCCGGAAGCTAGAACAACCTATGTGAGCTTGGCAGCGTACCAACCATTACAATTTCTACAACTATCGCTCACATTCCACCTGAATTTTGATGCATAAAAGTGGTACTTAACTATAAGGTAAATAAAATCAGTGTTTCAGTCTTATAAACAGCTGGTTGATGTTATATCTAGTTGACCAAACGTTTAATTATACTAACTGAACAATATTTATGATCCTAAAAAACATGTTGACTGTTGATGTTTGCTTAGAAAATGTTGAACATTTGTTTTATCTAGTGAGGGTACTTTACCACAGTGCATTACACAAGGTCAAAATAGATCGTCTTGAATTTATACGGAAGAATATCGGACTTCTGATCAAAGACTAGCTCCTTCAATATTAATTTTATATTGTATAAAGTAGTTATCACTAACATAGAGGGTTTTAAGAAGGGTCAAAAAAGAGTATTGAAAACAGTTCTCTGAACTGATGGAAACGACTGGTTCTTTGACTATTAACAATGCTTAGTCTTTCTCATCATTATTGCTACTACATTATTCCAATCTCTCGTTACTAATCTTGTTAATTTTATGTTGTGCTGATATAGTATGGGAACTCTGGCTGCTGAAAATCTGTCCAAAGGCCTTACATTGGTTATGATTAACAAACTGATACAACACTGCAATAGAATCCAATCCCGGTAAAAAATATTTTCTTATTTAACAGTCAAGCAATTCCATTGAAATCATGAACTGACCATAACCAGACAACCATTGAAAACCTGAAAGCACTATATGGCCGTTTCGCTTTTGTAAATGACGCCTTGACGATGTGTATTCACTGCCAAGCGGAAAGGAATGTAGTCCACAACCTTCCGTTTCGCGAGTGAACGCCCAGCCTTTAGAAAACTGAGACGAAATTTGATGGTGTACAAGTCAAACTCTAATCAGTTCATAATATTGCACAAACATCTATTATTTCCATCGAGTAAATTCCTTACACCTGAGACAGTTTGGCTCTACTGGTTGAAGGTCCTTACTACGACGCCGGAAATTTCCTCTCGAAGCTAGTCATTAGTGAGTACATGATATTTCTCATTATGGAGTCGTGAAAACTGTTAAATTTTGTTTAAATCACTATTGGATTCTGAGTCAGTGGTCTAGAGGTTAATAGTTTGCATACAACACCAAAGGCCCTGGGTTTGATTCTCGCTTCTGGGGTTGAAGATCACACTGCTGAGGAGTACCATACCAAGACGAGGCGGCTATCCGGGGCTTCCAGGTTTTTAATGGTTGTTTTACTTTGATCGGCTCATGATTTCAGTGAAATTCAATAATCTCCGCAACTCCATAATGAAAATCGAAAAATCACTTTTCAAGTACATAAAATTTTAGTGTTCATAAGCGCAGTACAACAATATTAATATAAAGTCCGAATATACTGGTTTCAGATAAAATTAGTATTTAATAAATAGTAGATTAGATAAATAAACAAATAAACTAACAAGTAGCATACATTGCAACTGCAGTGACCTCATCCTTTGGAGTATAAATGAAACAACACCCACTAGGTGAAAAATCTAATTTCATCATACTAATCATATCTGTAATTAAATGAGAGCAAGAAAAAAGACACATTTATAAATCATTACTAGAGATACTTACAATACTCTAGTCTATATATGTTGTACTGTTTATGATAAAACCGGCTAGAAAACATGATTTTTAATCTCAAAATGCGATGAGATGATAAGAATTTAAATTGTTTACCTTATGTGTATAAAGACAACTGACTAAGTAGTTTGAAAGCTATATATAGACATGTTGAAGATGGGGATAATGGTCACATGTGTATTTCAAATAAGTGAGGAAACCCAGAAAATTCAACGTAAAAAGCTCAAAGGGTACCTGAAAACTCTGGGAAACATTTTATCCAATCACCATTGAGTAGAAGTTTCTCAAGAACATCTAGAAAATCAAGAGTCACGTGTCATATTTCTTATTGGACGGTTGCTTATCCTGTTACTAAAATCCAGGTATCCTGATTAAGAACAAAGACATAGTATATTTCCATGAAGTCAATGACTGTTGCACTGAATCTTAAAGGCAGGTGCAGACAACCTGGTTGAGGTGAGAGAAATTATCGTAACCAATGCTCAGAGACTCGGCACCTTATCGCTTAGAATCCGTCTTGGTAGTGTAGATATATCAACTATTTTTCTTTCCTAATTTCTTGAGGTTTAAAATCATTTTACGCTTTTTGCTTCGCTAACTTATTCTGTATCCTTGGATCCTGCTACATCTATTAATTAAACATTTATTTTGATAATTTCAGATCGCTGTGTTGATGTGGTGTGCCACCTCGAATGGATGTACATATGTCAAGTTGCTTACAACTGACTGTGACAACAAAATATAAGATAATAAAAAGCAATGTTAACATTAGGCTCTACGAACTAAAGTCAGTTCGTCATTGCCCTTATTTTTTCAAACATTTATCACTCGTTATTTATTTAGTATATCTTCATCATTTATCTTTTTTTTATCATTTAATTATATCCACTAATATCCCAGATTCTATCATAATAAGTCATTCTATCTATCATTGGGCTTATCAGAAATATATATTCAAAGTTTTAACTAGACGGCGAGTTGTTTGATGCATATAAAGATAATTAGTGGACTTGAATAGGACATATAATCAACTGTGCCAACGTCTAAGTGATCAAGGGTATGTGACGAAACAATCAAAGTTTCCTATTACTAAAGACATTATTGTAGGTTTGAGTGTAACAAAAAGTCCCTAAACTTCGCATACAGTTGATAGGCTGCCAGTTTCTCTATTAATGTCATCTGAACGAAAATAGTTGATGGTAACTATAATCCGTTTATGTAATTATGGTGTTGATCAATATAATCACTCATGGTTTATGACACGTCAGTCAGCGTACAGCCAGATAAGAATGTGTGATGTCCCAGGTTGTCAAACCACATCACTATGATGACATGAAATGAACATGATGACTAGCAAATGAATCAGTATAATGTGGTAACAATGATCATGAGAAAGATTAAACGTTGAGAATGCAGTTCGAAAATAATCTCAAAACATTACATGAGATTACAAATGTTTAGTAAGAACTATGAACATCCAATTTTATTGGTAGTTTCAGTGATGGCTTTATGACGATCAAGATTACTTCGATTCATTTAGGTGTATCCGTGACTAACGATTATCCGTAAATTCCCAAAGCATACAGTTCATATGCTCTTTTTTAACCCAATGCTCACAGAACGTAAAAAAGTGTATTACTTAAACGCTATCTATAAAAAAAAATACTGGAAACTAAGCGGATGAAGAATACATAAGGAATGAACAAAATTTAAACCTGTCAAGACAATGAAAGGACAATTGATCTGAATCTTTTGATAACTCACCAAAATTAATAACATCAAAAACCTTGGCAGTTTTATCATCACCAACAGTACAGGCTAATTCACCATCACAGCTAACTGACAAGCCAAGAATAGCTCCTGCATTTGACAGTGAAATGAAAGTATAATGAATGAGATTTATTTAGAGTGGAAATATTTAGAAAGAATACACATAACGCATTATCATTACATATCATGGTTAGAATTTCAGAAAATAAAGTCAATTAATTAGTTGATTTAAAAAATGAACTAATCAGGATACTTGATTTTTACATGCATTGTAGAGAAATGAAACTTTTGGATATTAGGTTAAAAGTTAAAGTTGATTCAAAAGTAGAACAATATTTGGACGTTATAATTAGCAAAACAGCTATCCAGTACTCTTTTGTTTTAAATAATTTCTGACTTCATATCAGTCTATAATAAGGGACAATTCAAATCTATACTAATCTCTACAAGCGTCTGTCATCAGACTTGACATTTAATCATCGAGTTACAAACCGAATTTCATTCTTCTGATTCTGACATTTAGTCACCAAACGTATCATTCTCTTTCTGCGTTAAGATATAATATACAGTTTAGTATATAAGTGAACTATCAGCTTTGATCAAGTTTAATCAATTTATCCGGAAAGTAGATAAGATAGAAAATAGATTCATTACAATCTATTGTTTCGGATGAGAACAGCTTGTCGCGAAACCCAGAACACCTCACTTTGGTATGAGAACACCTGATAGGTTTCGAATGATAAATATCCCAATAATGAGTTAAAATATTTGTCTGGCGTTCTTTTACATCTAAAAATTTTCGAATAATGCCTATTATTATTCAAAGATTACACACCAATAGGTTACTATCTGAAAAAGACATTTACTGATAGGAACGCTATCCTTTAGAAATAGAAATCTGACTGTTAACAGGTAATGAGAAAAAACAATTTACACAGTTTTGAAGATTTTTAGGCTGATAAGATTGTCACCGTAGTTTAACTCAAATACAAAGATCATTTTGAATCAAGAGTACCCAAGATTGCCCTGCATCATCTATGGGAAACAACACTATTGTAAACTCTGTCATGATATTGGATGTGTGAAATCAGTCGGCAAAAGCCTAAGATCTAAATTTATTGATAATCGGTAAATATGATCAGTGCATAGATAAACCCCAACCCATAAAATCCACTATCGAAGTCAGAGACATCGTCACGAAGCTGGCCAATTAATAACCTATACAACTAAGATATGAAAGAATTATACAGCAAATACATAATACCGAAATGACGGGACGTTTTAAGGTAGAAAATATACCAATCGAAATGGAATAATGAAATTAAGATGGTAGAGAAAAGAAATGTCTGTTAGAGTTTCTTACCTAAATGTGTTCGGTAGTGTTTGATAAACTCTAGTCCAACACCATCGGCTTTCCGCCAAAATTTAAGATGACCATCATTGCTACATGTCATCAAATAGTGAGTTCTGTAATTTAGGAAGTCAATTTAAAAGTTAAGTAAAATAAGTAACACTAGAAAACGCTAGTTTAAGTGTGGAAAACTTGAACATGATCACTAGGAAGTAAAGGCTATAGAATAAAACAAAAAAAGATTTTTCAAAATGTCATTTAGCTAAACTGTCTTTCCTCTTCACTAGCACAGTGGACCTTTCAAGTTATAATTAAAAGCTAATTAAAGGCATTCATGGAAAACAACCCATGAAGTAGCCGACATTTTACTAGTAGCAGGAAACGATTTTAAGTTTGGCTCCTTTTGGAGTTGTGAGTTGACATTCCTGAGTAGCCATAAACTATGATGAAAAGATCGTTTGGTGCTAGCCAATTATTTGCATTCCTATAATCTATGCCAGTCTGTGGGAGAAACTCTTCAGAATGACCTTGATTTTATATTAATCGTAATTCGGTAGTGAATGAACTGATTAAGTTTCGTCGGGGATATGAAAATTAGTGTAGATGAACCAATCATATAAGAGTGTGATTATTTCCAGCATTATTAGAATTAAAAAGTCACTTACTTTGAGTAGGCAACGTGTGTTATCACATTTCTATGCATATAACTTATTTCGTAGTACTGAGCTATTGGAATATTACGTAGGTAAATTGCTTCATCTTTAAGGACTGAAATGCACAAAGAGAAGCGAAATGTTTTTAAGTATAATGCAGTTGGACAAACGCTCAACAAATAAAGAATAAATTATCTTTAAAACACGTTGCAATTTCAAACAGAATGACAAAATAAACGTTTCACGAGACCGTACCTGTTAAGCGCTCCACAATGGTTAACAATAAAAACAGGAATTTAAAAAAGTGGCAAAACATCAAGGTAAAGTGGAATACATTAGAACTGTTGAATGGACGGAAAATAATGTATGGGTCTACGAAAAAACTGCGATTAACTTTGAGTCGTGTCACTAGACCGTAAGTCTGATGACCCGAATACCACATCTGCCTACACAACAGTACATGATTAGAATCATCAACAGCAGCAGACCTCAACAGCTAGCATCACAACTTCAGATGACCATCTTCAGCTGTCTACAAACTAATCTTCCCTTTAGCTGGTTGTGTGACGTGTATAATTTGTTCATGATCAAGGTATTACATTCAATACAGTGTGGTGGTTGATGTGACCATTATTCAACATCTTGAAGAGAACTTGGAGAGACTATAATTTATGGACAACCTTTGAACGAATATTAAGTGACCTTGGGAAATATTAGCCAATCAATAAACAGTCAGCATAGAGCGAAAATATATTATACAAAACCAAATAAATAAAGTGGATACACTCCTTTTATATGGTCCAAAAACTTGTCAAGGTTAGGAAAAGGTTTAAAGGTTCCAAAATCACAATGCATAAGGTAGAGGAACTCATCCATATGGCTCCATAATAGTTGGTCTCTGGAGCCATGATAAAGTCATAAAAACCGTCTCAGCCTCGACCACAGCTTCATTATTGTTTGTATGTACTCCGGTTGTTTAAGTTCATCATTTTTATTATAGACATGTCCCTACAATACTCATACCACTGAACAGCCGAAGGTTCAGTAACATCTGCGATTACTGTAGCCAATATTACTGGTGCTTTTATTATACAGTTGGCGGCAATTATTATAATATGTCTTAGCCTCAATCCGGATCGAGCGATAAAGGTTCCTATTCTAGCAAACGTCTTCCATCAACATATATTACATCTAAGGACAACCTAACGGTAGTCTGCACAAGGTCAACAAGTCATTTAACAGTTGTAATTACAAATACAGCAACTTCTTAGCAGTTTCATCTTTTGTAGCTGCTTAATTGTCAAGTCTTCTCTAAAATTCTCTGTGAACTGATCGTACATGAGCATCGGGTACTAAAATTAACGCTGTGACCTTGAAATCCCTCAAACGCTTCTGATTGGCTCGTCCATAAATTATAGTCTCGCCGCGAACTTGTAATCTATCGACTTAAAAGAAAAATGTCAGAACAATAATATCCGAAGTTCGTCAGGGACAAAACAAAATTCAGTAATAAAAGACATAGCCTACCTTTACGTTTCTTTTTAGGGACTGGTAGAGAATCACCGTTTTCGCTGACATCTTCCTGAAACTGCATCATTTCAGATGGTAAAGGACCAACAGTATCTTCTCTAGATTCATTTTGATCATTATCGTCGGCATCGTTGGAATTTTCGGTTGGCAAAGGGCCGATGGCTTCATCATTATCAGACATGATCTACGAAATAAAACAGACGTTTCGGGGTGTTATAACATGAAAGGTGAACTTGTTGAGTTCAAAAAAAAAGAATCGTTACAACGTGCAACAATTTATCAATACAAAGTTGGAAATAACGGCGAGACTAAAGAACATGGACGAGCCAATCAGAAGCTTTCGCGGGTTTTCAAGGTCACAGTGCTAAGTTCGGTACCTGACGCTTACGTACGGTCAGTTTACAAAGGATTTTAGAGAAAACATGATAATTAAGCGACTACAAGATATGTTACCATTAGGTTTTGGCGCAAAATTCAATTATATATTTGGATTGAGTTGTGGCATTATAGCTGATGGCAGTTCGTGATGAAAACCCTAAGTAAAATTCATAACCTTATCCATGAACTGTAAATCATAATTTGAATTCTTCACACGGGTTTATAACCCTCATTTAGTCTTAGTTATTATGTTGACACTCTCAGATTCACTCTAGCGTCGCTCAAATGTCGTCCATTATTTATAGTCTCATCTTTAACCCTAAACCTTAACCCTAATCCTAAACCCTAAACCATAACAACATACCGACAACACTGAAACTATGTGGTTGAGGCTGAAAGAATTTTCGGGACTTTATCATGGTTCCAGATGTCGACTAATATGGAGCCTCAGGGATGAGTTCCTGTGCCGGATGCACTATGATTTTAGAACTTCTGAACCTATATCTGACCTTGATAAGTTTTTGATACATGTAAAAGAACAGTATCCCCTTTAATTTTTGAGTTTTGTATAATATATTTTTATTGTATGCTAACTGTCTTCTGATTGTCCAATATTTCTCAAGGTCATTTAAGATTCGTTCAAAGGTCGTCCATGTTCTTTAGTCTCGCCGAAATAACTCAGTCGCGTGCATTTAGTAATATATCAACAAAGACAATAAAGTGAAGAAAATATTTTTGAAAATGGAAGTAGATATTATCAGGACAGTGGACCCCATTACTTGACTGAAGACATTTCAAATTACATCGTAACGTTTTCCAGTAACTTTTTCACTTTGCTGTCCGTGAGAACATAAGAAAACTTTCGGAAGTCCGAATCGTTTTGAGTCCGTTTATATTTATAATTTTAACGTACAAATATGACAGACTTTAGCGAATTCCTGGGACCTTAGTACGATTCCTTACCACATTGATTGTGCATACTAACCTTGAGATGTCGTTTCAATTTGTTCCACCCGCTCTTCAACTTTCAATATCCGTATCACGAGCATGAACAAACGGATTGATTTCTTTTCGCTCACTTCTTGGTGCTTCAGTAGGGTTTCAGAAGTTTGATAATGTTGAGTGAGGAGAAGTTCAGTCTTTTGAACTCTCTATTTCCAGTGGTAGCTATTTGTGTGTTTTCGTGTATCATGTAGTTGAATAAGTGAAATTGTCTCAGGATAATAGGGTTTCTATCGAACCACCAGACAGGAAGTTGATAGATTTCTGTGTGAAACTGATAAGGTGATAATTCGAGTGCTAAGAAAAGATGATTGTTATAAGAATAAATAAGTTAACTGATTGGTAATGTGTCGGAAGACGGAGTCCGAAGAATAAAAATGGAAATGGAGATGATACCAACGGCAATAAGAAGTAGTCACCGATATGCGATGATTATGATTGTGGTAATCTACGAAATATGACCAGACACAGATAAGCCATGAGAGTGACGGTAATCCATGAGTGAATACGTGTTCTTCAAGTCTCCTCTTAAAGCTATCTACCGGTGAAACTATAGACCCTTTGGCTAGGATAGAATTCTAAATGGAAACAACACTTAATGAAAGAAGTGAGTGTACTCAGGTGTTCGCCCTTTTATGTACAATCTTTCGTAGGTTGTATCAAGGAGCTTGGTGATGATGTTCTCGTAATGCGCTAGTGTTGGGATGGCTTCGCACACCCAGTATGATGTACGACATTATCAGATCACCTTTTATTCTCCTGTTTCCGAACGAGAATAGTCCTAAGTAATGAAGAAAGTCCGCGTAGGATCTATGTTTTAGACCTATCACCCACTTTGTTGCCAGTCTATGAACTTGGTCTAAGAGGTTTATAACATTTTAGGGGGAAGCGACGTTTTAACTTCTCATATGTTCATGATAATACCTTATGCACAATACTTAAGAAGTAACAGCACACCTTTAAGATGGCTGTACATAAAAAAGCGTTCGTTACTTACTTCAAGTGTTAAGAAAATGCAAGCACTTTATTGAAGAATTCGCCGATAAGATTATTTGAATAATTTCGAGGACTTTAGGGTCTCTTTCCACATATCTTGTTGTGCTTAATTTTACGAATGACAGGTCATTTTTACAGCGATTCGGAATAGAGCTAATTGTGTGAACTCACTGTATGAAACTAGCTAAGTATTATAGTTGACAGCCGAGTGAATTTGTTTCTCCTTGAGGTTCATACTAATGCCGAGGGTAAATACTGACCCTCGTATTATTTTTTTATACAGCGTTCCGTTTGACCCTGTTTGGACAACAGTGATAATGGAAATTCTGAGTATGAAATATAGGTGGATCCTTGTATTTCATACGCTTGTACCTAAAAACAAACGATATGGAGTGATTGGTGGTGAGCCTTAAATGTTGCTGGCTTAAACATGATTCTCTAAATGTGACTCAATTCTCATACTGAATACACACTGTATGAAATACATATACAAGCTAAAGCTTTCAGATGATGTTCAGAATTAGTAAGGACGAAAACAAGCAGTGTAGAATCAACGGGACGCAGATATAAGGAATGAGTTTCAACTCAAGGTCAGACGTAAAGTGTTGTATTGGGGACTCTAAGCAATCTGAAACAAATGACGATGAAGTATTTCTACAGATAATAACTGTGAGAATTTCTCATCGTATTTTTTCACATGTTAAGATTTTTAATGTTGTCTTGGCCGATTCTTATAGATGTGTGGAGATAGAACCTTAAAACCTATTTTGTAAATAATTTTTCATAGTTTTCGCATGTATTTTCATATTCTGTACATTAAGCATTAAACAATTGTACTTGTTGTTTAACTGTATTACATTGAACGCATGTAAGACACCTTCCTTCCGTTGTGATTACAACATACCGTGCCACTGTTAATTCTCCTCAGCAAATACACTCTAATTCACATCTACATCGTTCTGCCCTGTCTGCTAATATGTTGAATGAAATATTAATTGCATACCATCTACATTTATAGACAATTGCGACATTCTTATTGGATTCTACGCTTGGTAAAATTACTGGATCTATATCGTCCATATTGGGATTAATAATTTTGTTATAATTGTGGAGTATCTGGACCAAACCCAGCCGAACACGCAATAACCTGAAGACTTAAGTAACGTCCCTTATTTTGTTATTTGTGTGTGTAATTACTTGTTAACTGTTAATTGTTACATAAACTATAGACATAATATTTTTGTTGCTAATTTTTTGGTTATCAAACATTTTGGTCCGCCACAATTATCTGGTGAGCCTCGATTATCTTTTTATAGACATTTACTATATATAGCTGCATAATTTAGTATTCTTATTAATTGGCACGACCCCATTTTTTGTTTTTGACATTATGGACTCCCCTAATAAACTTATCGATATTGATAGCTCATTAACCAACCCCTTTCATTCACCACCGCCAGAAGATAATGTTTTAAACTCAATCAACACTATTTCTGAACTGAGATTACCAACATATGGTGTTAATAATCCCAGAATCTGGTTTGCACAAGTTGAGGCACTATTTTTGGCGAGGGGCATACGTTCACAAGCGACTAAATATGCCCACATCGTCGGGGCACTACCTATAGATGTTGCAACGGAAGTCAGTGACCTGATAGACAACGTACCAGAAACGGACCCCTATGACAAAATAAAAGCTGCAGTGATCCACCGTACTTCGCAGTCTGATGAAAAACGCTTGCAGCAACTACTCACCGCATGCGAGTTAGGGGACAAAAGACCTTCACAGTTGCTTAGACATATGAGACAACTATCAGGCCCTTACAAGTTAGACGAAGCATTACTTAAGCAGATATGGTTACAAAGGTTACCATATAACGTCAGACAAATCCTCAGCATATCAGGAGCCTCTGTCAGTCTTGATGATTTAGCAGACATGGCTGATAAGATGATAGAAATATATTCTGATAGTCACGGCGTTAGCGCGATACAATCCTCAAATGCAGAAAACATGAGCGACGCACTCAACATCCAACAACAAATAACACTGTTAACACAGCAGCTAGCATCACTGCAGGCGACTGTTGCCACCATCCATTCTCGACCTCCCAGATCTACGTCCAGAAGGAGATCAGTATCCAGACATCGTCTTAGGTCACCTAAGCGGGCAGCCGGAATGTGTTGGTATCATTCGAAGTATGGTGAGAAAGCACGTTGTTGCACAAAACCGTGCACCTTTAAGACAAACAACCCAATCTATCAGGGAAACGAAGCGGCCAGACAGTAACGGCGGCAGCTGCTACTGGCCAACATGTTAGCCGCCTATTTCACGTCAGGGATCGCATTTCTGGCTCGGACTTTTTAGTCGATACTGGAGCAGAAATCAGCATCATCCCACTCCATCTCTCCCGCAGACAACAGACAACAAGCACTAAATTGTCCTTAATAGCGGCTAACGAATCAGTTATCAAAACTTACGGAGAACAATCTCTTATATTAGACCTCGGGCTCCGCAGAAGATTCACATGGGTATTCATAGTTGCCCAAGTCAAACGACCCATCCTCGGGGCTGATTTTCTTAGTGCGTACAACCTGTTAGTAGATATGACCAACAAGAGACTAATCGACGTAAACACACGTTTACAGGTAAATGTTGCGCTCTCCAATGACAACGAGATCCACGGTGTTCGAATAATGAAACCTGTGAACAACATCTTCAACGACATTCTAACAGAATACCAGTGCATTACGAAAGCAGATTACCAAAAGGAGGGTAACCCACAGCTGGTGCAACACCATATCACTACCACCGGACCACCCACCCGCGCCAGGGCGAGAAGACTCCCTCCAAACAAGTTGCAGTTCGCTAAGAGAGAATTCGAACACATGATGCAACTTGGAATAATCAGACAATCTAACAGTCCTTGGGCCTCGCCGCTGCATATGGTCCCCAAGAAAGATCAGGACTGGCGCCCATGTGGAGATTATCGCAGATTGAATAACCAGACGATCCCAGACAGGTATCCGATCCCTCATCTACATGATTTTTCGTTAAATCTACATGGAAAACAGATTTTTTCAAAGTTAGATCTTGTTCGAGCATACCATCAAATACCGATGGCACCTGAGGATATCGAAAAAACAGCCGTAATCACACCTTTTGGGTTGTTTGAATTCTTGAGGATGCCATTTGGGCTTAAGAATGCTGCGCAAACATTCCAACGATTTATGGATGAAGTCACGCGAGGTTTAGATTTCGTATTTGTGTACATCGATGACGTCCTAATTGCCAGCTCATCACTTGAAGAGCATGTCCATCATCTGCAGATTCTCTTTGAACGATTCAAGAAATATGGCGTAGTTATCAACCCTACTAAATGCATATTCGGTACGTCTGCCTTAGAATTCTTAGGACACTATATTGATGCACAAGGTATTAAACCTCTACCAAAGAGAGTTGAAGCCGTCATCAACTATCCTGAACCCACTTCGGTTAAGTCATTACGTCGCTTCCTGGGTGCATTCAATTTTTACCGTCGATTTTTACCTAACTGTGCCGACGTTCTACAACCGTTAACTGACTTACTAAAAAACGATAAATCAGGTAGCAAAAAGAAAAAGAATCAACCATTCACGTTACCTTCCGATGCCAAAACGGCATTTGAAAAAGCCAAATCTTTGATTGCTGACGCCACCATGCTACAACATCTAAATACTGACCCCAAAACTCATCTGCTCCTCTGTACGGACGCATCACAAAAAGCCGTAGGAGCAGTATTACAACAACGAGTAAACAATACGATTACACCCATTGCTTTCTTCTCTAAAAGGTTATCACCTGTACAAGAACGTTATAGTACATTCGGTCGTGAACTCTTAGCCATGTATTTAGCCGTTAAACACTTCAATTTTTTGCTACAGGGCCGGGATTTTACCATCATGACGGATCACAAACCCCTGTGCTACTCCTTTAGTATGTCGTATGACAGACATTCACCACGCGAAGCAAGACAGCTTGATTACATCTCACAATTCACCACAGACATTCAGTTTATCAAAGGTCACTCCAACATTGTAGCAGATGCGTTATCGAGAAAAGACATCAATGTAGTTGCATCCAACCATGACGTCAACCTAGAAATAATCGCAAAACTTCAAGCAGACGATGCAGAGCTAAAAACCTGCAAAGAAAAGTCTCGCCTGAATCTCCAACCTGTACCCATTCCATTCTCCGACGCATCCATCATCTGTGACACATCAACAGGTAACAATCGTCCTTTTGTTCCACTTGCATGTCGCCAAAAGTTATTCCAACACTTGCATGGTTTATCACATCCGGGCATCCGAGCTACTACAAAGCTGATAACTGAACGTTTTGTTTGGCCGAAAATCAATTCAGATATTAAACGTTGGACACGTGGTTGCCTTCAGTGTCAACGTAGTAAGATCCAAAAGCATACTATTAGTCCAATCGGAAAATTTCCTATTCCTGATAGACGTTTTCAGTATATCCATTTAGATTTAGTAGGACCTCTACCTCCGTCAAATTCTTTTACTCACATCCTCACGGCAATAGACAGATTCACTCGATGGGCCATCGCATGCCCCATCAAAGACATATCAGCTGAGACTGTAGCATCCGTTTTTCTAGACCGATGGATATCGCACTACGGTGTACCGACAACCATCACAACTGATCGTGGTCCCCAGTTTCAGTCTATCCTGTTTCAGGAATTCACAAGACTTCTGGGTGTAAAACACATCAGAACCACAGCTTACCACCCAGCAGCAAACGGCATGATTGAAAGATTTCACCGGCAATTAAAAAGCTCACTCATGGCTCAAACTGATTCAACAAAATGGAGTGATGCCTTGCCGCTTGTTCTCCTTGGGATTCGTGCCACGGTGAAGGAAGACATAGGTTGTACACCCGCCGAATTAGTCTATGGTACGACTCTAACGTTACCGGGTCAACTAGTCAACTGTGCACCTACAACGCAAGAAGATGCTACTCATTTCGCAAGTTGCCTATTACAAGTAATGCAGAACATTAGAGCAATACCACCGCGAGAACACAACAATCCAGTCCATCTCGACAAACATTTAGAAACGTGCAAATTTGTTTTCGTTCGAGTAGACGCGGTGAAAAAGCCACTGACACCACCATATGAAGGTCCGTATAAAGTAATAAAACGCACTTGCAAATATTTCATTATCAACAAAAACGGAAACAATGAAACCATTTCCATAGACCGAATTAAACCAGCTTTCTACGAACCCCCTCAAGCCACTGATGACAATACGGCGAACAAACAATCACTCCCATCAATTGCGAAGAAACAAGAGGAAGAGGAAAAACTCAGCACTACACCCTCTTGTTTAACACGATCTGGGAGACTTATTAAAAAACCCAAACGTTATGTACATTTTATGGACTAACACAATCAATCAGTTGTATGCATTACTTTGTGAAGTTACGCAATCTTCTAATAAAAGATATTTATTTTCCCTACATGTACATTTAATAACTACATTTATTTGTTATCACTGGTTTTGCCAATTTTTTTTAATAAGAAAAAATTGTCATAGTAATAAACGAGTGGATGCTAACTAACTATTTATTAAATTCATCCATTTATTTTATTTTTTATTTTATGACTCTATTAACAGTTTTGCACATTTTATTATTATTATTAACAAACCGAAACTTTGTAATGTTTGTTCTTCAGTTTCATTTTGCGTAGCATAGCGTATATTATTAACGTGCCATTTATTCCTATCTCCACCATTTTTTTTTCCGTTATTACAGTAAATACTATTTTATGTACATTTGTATACAATATTTCTCAATTTCTGTTCTTCATATTGTAAACAGTGTTACCTCCGGACACTCTGGGGGGGAGCTATGTGGAGATAGAACCTTAAAACCTATTTTGTAAATAATTTTTCATAGTTTTCGCATGTATTTTCATATTCTGTACATTAAGCATTAAACAATTGTACTTGTTGTTTAACTGTATTACATTGAACGCATGTAAGACACCTTCCTTCCGTTGTGATTACAACATACCGTGCCACTGTTAATTCTCCTCAGCAAATACACTCTAATTCACATCTACATCGTTCTGCCCTGTCTGCTAATATGTTGAATGAAATATTAATTGCATACCATCTACATTTATAGACAATTGCGACATTCTTATTGGATTCTACGCTTGGTAAAATTACTGGATCTATATCGTCCATATTGGGATTAATAATTTTGTTATAATTGTGGAGTATCTGGACCAAACCCAGCCGAACACGCAATAACCTGAAGACTTAAGTAACGTCCCTTATTTTGTTATTTGTGTGTGTAATTACTTGTTAACTGTTAATTGTTACATAAACTATAGACATAATATTTTTGTTGCTAATTTTTTGGTTATCAAACATTTTGGTCCGCCACAGATGTTATGGTCTTATTGAGCACATAAGTCGAGAATCTTCACTTCTAGATTCATCACTCACCAAAATATGGTTGGTGGTCACTGTATCGGTTATACTGAAATCCAATGAGTATCCGTCAACTGAATAAATTTGTTTTACACGATATTTAGAATATGTAGCTGGATTTTCATATATTCGCAACGCTCTTCATCACTATATCGAAGAAAGAAAAATGGCTTCCTGCCAAAACATTTGATTGACAACGATGTCGTAGGTAACTAGTAAATTTTCTGTACAAATAAATACCATAAATTGTTTTAAACCGGTCAAAACATACGACATGATTTCACTCATTCTAATCCAAATTACAGTTCCAAGCTTTTGCCTTGTCAAAGTCCTAGAATGGTTTATATTAGTATTAATTCGTCAGACGATTCTGTATTCGCATCTGTCATCGTGTCACACTAGACTGTTCATACTGGTGGAATGTCGTTGATTGGGCATATTGTCAAGATAAGAAAAGTCGTTTTTCGATTGGTGAATAAATCACATGATAAAAGGCGAACATAATATCACAACGAATCGGATACGGCCCTCTTATTTTGTAGTCATACTAAATTGGCGACGGCCTTTTGTAAAGTCACAACACGACGTAACTTTAAAGATGGTATTTTGGTCCATTTCGTAACTGCTATCGTTAGCTTGTATTTCGTTACCATGGGCCTTGCATTAAGACTTCAAAAACAAGCTCCCACTTGTAAGTTTAGGATCACCTACATATCCAACACCATGACCGTCTAGTTCCCAGCTGAATGATCCTAGACTAATAAAACAGATTATGTCAATACTCTTCGGCATTTTTCACTTAGATAAAGACTTGTCATTTCACTTATCAAAATGTTAGTAATGATATTCGAGATGCTGTCGCTGTAACGGCCAAATTGCGAATAATCAGTTTTAACACAAGACTAACGAACCTAAGTTCATTCTATTACGTCAGACTATGTTCTGCGTATAGCATACTAATCGCTTTTGAGTGACTCACATTAGATCATATCAAAACACGAACTCTGTGTTCAATTTAAACAGTTCCCATTCAATAAAGAGTATAAATTATATCAGAAGTACGAAATACTTCAGACGGTACAGCCTGTGTTATACAGTCATGGGCTTCTCTGGCACGAACTAACGTGGTAAACAACAAGAAGAATAGTTACTAAACAAGAATTCGATACCTGTCAATCAATAAAAGTATTCCCGACAATATGGGATTAGATGTCTATCTGCAAGGATTCCGTCAGCCTTTTAGAGCAAACACTCAAACGTTAACATTTATATCCTGAGCCACGTGACCTCATTGTCGGTGATCCGGCACCATACAACAATGAATCAAGTAATTCTAGGCGAATCTTTAACTAAGATCAAAGAACAAAAAACCGGAAAAGGAAGACTGAAGAACACAATGTGTGATTAAAAAGAGACTTCAATAAAGGTTAAAAACAAGACAGTGGGAAAAAACTAAGAGATGCACCCCAATGAAATGACGTGGAGGGATTTTCAGCGATCTTTTTCAATCACAGTCATAGAACAACTAGATGTCTTATTATCCAGTGTGGATGAATCTTTTATACTACGTGAAGCTCAGATTTCTAACAGAAACAATTCCTCTTCGTTGAAAGAAGTAAATAATTAGGAACCAATTTTAGTTCGTTTTCACAGAATAAATCCTGTCTTTCATGACATAAACTGCACCTTTGCAATTTATGTCGACTTCTTTGAACACTTTGTCGTAAATATGGAATTATGGGACTTGTGAAAGAAGTCTGTAGAAGTTTCAAGTCACCTACCACCAAAAAAACCGAGCGATTGTGGGTCAAGACCGGGTGCTTCATGAAAAATAATGGATTCGTCTTCGTATTCTGCCTTCTGTATCACTAGTTCACGCGCAACGCAAAAAATAATTACTACAAAGGCAAACCCTAATAACTTAATCATGATATTGGTAGCATATCGTCAATTATTATATGTTATTTCTTTAAAATGATGTGAATTTAAAACTTGAAAGCAGTGCAATCATTGGCATGACTGAACTTTCTTACCCGACATTGACACAGTTTTCACTGAGAAAAGAAGAAAGTAGTTGCGTCAATATTCCTTCCCTAGGTGGTGACCATGGCCCACATGTGTTTGGATTACAGATCCCCAAATTACCGAATTCCCACACTTCCTGTGGTGTTTGTATGACCTAACGATTCCTTTTCATTTGATGACTGCTTGATTTCGAGTTCCAAATACAATACTTTTGTTTGTGTTCATCTAATACTTCTTGTTTATATTGCGTTTTTTCTGGGATTCCTATGTTGTACTATAATTCAATACTTCTAACTAGCAAACTGGCGTGGCGATGAAGTCAGTAATGTGATTTTAGGACATGCACTCGAATTTTGACGCTTTTGAAGATTACATGGAAAGGTTTGAGATCTGGATCATGACCAAGGAAGATATTGACGATGTTGATATTATAGCTCATTTCCTTACATTGATCGTAAAATAAACCTAATAAAGACTTTGGCATTTCCAGATAAGCCGGTTAGACGCTGTTATTCAACTCTCAATGAACTACTACTAGACCATTTAAAGTGTACAAATTTCCAATGCGGTAAAAGAGAAAACTTCATAAAATAATCCATCAGGACATCGTTCTAGTATTGGACTCTACATCAGTTCGTATCTATCATCCCGCACCAAAGGGACTCGAACACATGAACTTCAACCTCTATAGTGTATTAAATGAAACGGAAACTATTCATTACACAGTGGACTAAATGAAGCTTTTAAATATGAATTTGTTTCATTTCCAAGTAATGCAGTATGTGAACGTCTTGAAGAGGAAGTTAAATTGCTTTGGATTCTTACTCTATATTTAATAATGCTTTATTTGTTCTAGTGTTTTGAAAATTGTATGATGTTATTCATTTTCATTAGTATGGGACTGTGGAGATTGTTATGTTTTTGATCTAGATCATGAACCAATTGATGTTGGACCACTACTGAAAACCTGAAAACACTAGACAGAGGTTTCGTCCTATTATGGGGCTCCTGAGCATCCACGATTCCCCCAGCGGGATTCGAACCCAGGAACTTAAGTCTCGCGCGCGAACTCTTAATCTCTAGGTCACTGAGCTGGCCGGCATTCAATGGTGCTAATGTTTAACTTCAACCAATCCACGAAATTGAGCGACACGTCCACCAATCTCTTCAGTGAGTTACTATGTCTCAACAGACCGCAAGTGACCAGTAGAATTCAACTGGGTCTGTTGTGAGATAGTCACTCATTGAAGACAACGGTGGAAGGTGATTTCATGGAAAATCTCACCTTATGTATTGAAATTTTATTGATAACTTGCATTCGATGGCACTCTGTTTGCAGTGTATGCTACTTACGTCTATCGACATAAGTAGTATGTAACACCAATCAAAAGTTGGATGGGTGGCAGCAGAAAGCTAAGAAGATCGAATTGAAGAAAACAGAAGGGGAATCATAAAGGGACTGTGAATAAGAAGAATCGTACAGAATATGAAGGACAATTGATGGAAGATTTGAAAATGAAGTACTTAATGTATGGTTCTCATATTTTATGAAGATGCTCTGTAATTTCTTAAGAAATAACAAATTTGTTGTCCCACCCTCCCTGAATCTCGTTTACTACATGTTGAAAATCGTGAAGAACTAAATAGCTATATTTTCCTAGATTTTGATTCCCAAAAGAGTTTTCATACAGGTTTCTACTTTTAGAGGTAATAATATGTAATATCCGCTTGTAGGATAAAAAACTTAGTGGTCAAGTATCATAAAAGCGTTTTTCAAAGAAGAAAAGGGATAAATTATAGTGAATGTCATTCAGTGCTACGCACTCACCAACGTTAGTAAAAGAAACAATAATGATCATCATGATAAAGTGACTAAATGACAAATTCGGTATTGAGTGGGAACGGCTGATAAGGCGACATGAACTGAGAAAAATGAACAATTACAGTGCGATACTTGTAGGTCTGTGATTAATATTTTCACACGCAGAAAGTTGTAAGTTTCCCAATATCTAGAAGAAAATCATACCACTATGGGAACTTGCCGAAAGGAAACTGAGAAAGCATTAGTTTCAATATAACAAAAGCAAATTGGGTGCAGGAAGCATCATCACGAAGAATGGATCTGCTGGGAATGATTTAAGGAAAGGAAAACAAGAAGGTAGCAGTCAAAAACGCGAGAAAAAGAGCAGAGCAAGCTAAGATGTAGTCCAGATATTCGGAAGCAAACAAACAAGTGGAGAATAGAGTTAGGGTTGAAAAGTGGGAATATTTAGAAGAACTGGTAACTACATCAGAAAAATCTGTAATTTAAGAAGTATGAAAGGACTATTTGGTACAGACAAAGGGTTAACGGAGAAATATAGTAAATCATATCAACCAATCAACAACAAAGAAAACAAACAAATCACTGAGTTTCAAGAACACTCAGACAAGTGTTTAGAACAAAGTGAAGAGCTCACCAATAGATCAGGGCTCATGTTTACGTCTGATATCAAGGCCGCATATACACACCTCTCTATATATATTACGGCACCAACAACAGACAATCAGTAAGGCGACCATACAAGTCAGGAATAACAAATAGTAAGAAGAG